AATGGAAGAGAAGGGATTGTGGCGTGGCCTGGGGGGGTGATTTCTCATTTTCCCTCTGACTGTCTCTCCCTCTGCCTCTCTCCAGTGAGCACATGTGCTCTATGGCAAAAATCTGAAAGAAAAAAAAAAAGTATCCAAAAATATTAAAAAAAAAAAGAATGCCTAGCCTAACTTCTATATTTGTCCACAGAGAGGTATATATTTAAATGCAGTAGTAATGCCTGCTCAAGAGAAGCTGGATCTTAATGGAGATCACAGTAACTTGGTTTCCCAGTTGATCTATACATGCTGGGCACATAGACCCATGGTCTCAGCTGTCTAGGAAGACCGAGGGGTCTGGAGAGAGCATCCTGTTGAGAAGGGTCTCGTGTCATAACTCTTCCTTAGGTGTAGATATCAGAGACTTACAGGAGATGGTAGATAGTAGGGTGTGGGAGGAAGATGCCCAGGAAAAAAACATTTAACTGACATAAAAATGAAAAGTTATCTGTCTGAGGATGAAGTATATGGTAATATCTTTGACTTGATTGACATGCAATGCATATATGCTTCAAAAAAGCGTATCGTCTGTTTTGTACACTATAAAGTGTACAATGATTGAATGTAAATTTTAAAAGGGAATGAGTAAATCTTTTTTTAAAAAAAGTGCTCTCTGCTATTGGGTCCTCAGGAAAGACATGACATATTTTTCTGTGCAAAAATGCATCATGACTTTTTGACGACCCAATATATCTTTTGTAGTAGTAAAAGACCAGAATTAATCAAAAGGACTAACAGGAAGGAACTAAACAGGCCATTTCCTGTCCAATAACAAGAATGGGATGGATTCTGAGTGTCCCATAAAACAATGAGCACAATATACCGCCAAGTGCAGAAACATAACATGCAGAAGCCTGGGTCAAGCATGACTGTATAAACATGGCATTTCTGGAAGGATACATACAAAACAAAAAAAACGTTTGTGTCTAAGATGAGACACTGGACCATAAGGGATTTAAAGTTAGAAGAAAAAAATATTTTGTACATGTTTTTAATTACACCAGAGGACTTCAAAAGGTTCATAGAAATGGGCTGAAAGTAAGAGTTTATTTTGGTGCAAACCAACTTGAACCTCTTTGCATGGTTTCTTTGATAATATGCATTTCCAAGAATTTTGTGAAGGTCGTTTGTGTTTGGGATGAAAAGAAATCTAGTTGGGGAAAAAAAAATGGATGGATGGACAAATGGGCAGATGGACGGAGAACAAGACGGATGGTTTTAAAAGAGCTCGTGGCTTAGTTAAGTTCCAGAATATCCACAGCCTTGAGAATAGCTGATGTCATAAAGCATTTGGCACCGCGACACAAACAGGAAAGTATTTCATAAGTACTTCTCCCGGCTCACACTGGCGTTACCGTGCAGAGCAGCCGAATCGCTCTCCCACCGTGCAGCTTTTCTGGCTTTCCCTCTTGCTGAACCAATTATGGGACATCACAACAGCGGCACCAATATTATTTTTTAAAGGCTGATGTTGTTCACTAAATACCCATTAAACCAATCTCCTTGCTCCATTTACAGCAAGCTTAAGGACAAATCCAGATGGCACAAATGATGCATATTCGGGCTCAGTCTGCATGATGCAGCCATCACACAGCCATGATCAGTTTTCAAGTCCTCAGCTGCCCCACACCCACAGGCATGTCCAGGTGAGAAGAACAGTGACCTTTCAAGAGATGGCCGTGCTCCCTGTCTGGGCAAACCACCTTGGCGCTCCCCCCCACCCCAAGGGCTGCTTTGCCGTTGGAGCTGAGCGGTTGTGGCTGGGTTGCTTGGAAACCTGGTAATAGATTGTGCCTAGTGCCCTTGAGCAGGGGTCAGGACTGCACTCACTCACACACTGCCCTGCTCACCACTTAACTCTGGGTAGGCCAGGAAGACCTGGCAGTCCCAAGAGGATTTCCGGCAGAGCTGCCTGCCCCTGACCCTGTCCTTGTCATCACTCTATTAGAAAAGATCCATCAGGGGCCAGCAGATGGTGTAACAGTTACAACGCTGGACTTCCACGTGACCAACTGTGGTTCGAGTCTTGAACCCGATGGCTTGAAACTCACACCGAGCACATGTGCGTGCATGCCTAAGATCTGGGAGGAGAATGGAGGAGAACGGACTGAGGCATGGCCATTCCTCTGGGGGGGGGGAGGATTTCTCACTTTCCCTCTCACCGTCTCTGATTCTCTCTCTGTGGTTAGCACACATGTCCTAAGGCAAAACCCTCTTAAAAAAGAAAAGAAAAGGTCCCTTTAAGGGATCATCACTGCCCTTCTCTGCTTTGACCTTAAAGATAGAAAATGGAATAGAATAAAGTCTACCAACCTTTTTTATTTTTAGAGAGGTTTTTGCTATAGTGTGTATGTGCTCGCCAGAGAGAAAGAGAGACAGAAAGCAAGAAGTCACCTCCCGGGGGCATGGCCACTCCGCAATCCCTCCTTCTCCCTTCTCCTCTCAGGATTTTGAGCATGCACACACGTGTCCCCAGTGTGAGTTTTAAGCCGCCAGGTCTGGGACTCGAACCAGAGTCAATTATGTGGGAGTCCAGTGATGTAACTGTTACACCATCTGCTGGTCTCAAGTCTGGCAACATTTTCATCCTAGGGGAAGCTCAGAATTGGGACTGTAAAGTCTTGAAAGGGGCACACAGCAAGCCCAGCAAACACGTCCCTGTGTTTCTAAGGCCCGGCATGTAAGATGGGGAGCTGTCCTTGAACTGCACTGCCCCGTCTCGTCACCAAAGATGTGTCTGCTAAAAGGACAGCAGAGCCAGCACCCTTAAGTTGGATGAGAAGTGCGACTGGAAGCCCAGGGCAGCTCTGTCATTCTCACCCTTTATTACCCAAGCTTCTGCTACATGAATTGTTATTTGCTGGTTATATCCCACATAGGAAGTTGTGGGAGGCAGTGAGGATTAACCCAAGTGGAGAGATATTTGAGTTTCCCATGAATAATTCATGTAGGACATAGTCTGAACGCAGATCATTGAGAACTGATGGCAGCATGGCTGTAACTTTTTTATATTTGCTCTCCCCGAAGACTAGAGATCATCCTAGCCTAGATTATGGTGAAAATATCAAATTCAACCACCAGCACAGAAAGGGGAAAGGACCGTCTTCCCTTGAATGGCAACTGTGCAGACAGGGACCAGTCACCAACCTGTTTATTTTCTCGATTCACTCAAGGGAACTCCAGGTAAGTGAGGACATGCTCATTCTTGCATCATTTGCAGGGTTTTCACTCAGAAATTCTGGTCTACAGAAGTGGGGAAGGTGAGGGATGAACATATCACAATACCACAGGCTGGCAGGGCTGAATGTAGGACTTCTTTAGTACATTCAAAGGCGGCTGGCCGTGGCAGCACAATGCCCCACAATGTGGAAGCCACACAGATGGCCCTAGGTTCCTGTCCCAATGGCTCTGTATGCATGCCGGGCACACACATGCATGCACGTAATCCTGGCTGGCTGGTGCTGGGAGTGGATCATTGTGTGGGGACTCTTGGCAGTACTGTCTCTTCTCTCTCTCTCTCTCTCTCTCTCTCTCTCTCTCTCGGAAGAAATTAATGAATCAGGGCCAGCCAATGGCATAGTGGTTACATTGCTAGACTCCCACATGGCTGACCACAGTTCCAAACTTGGACCTGGTGGCTTAAAACTCATACCGGGAGCATGTGCATGTGCACCTAAGATCTTGGGAGGAGAACGGAGAAGATGGGATGGGGTGTGGCCATCCCTGTTGGGGGGTGATTTCTCAATTCCCTTCTCACTATTTCTGTCTCTCCCTATCACATGTGGTCTAAGAAAAATACCTCTCAAAAGAAAAGAAAGAAATGAGAGATCTTTGGGAAAATAATAATAGATTTGGGCCAGCAGGTGGTGTGGTGGTTAAGGGCAATGGACTCCCACATGGCAGACCATGGTTCAAATCTTGAATCTGGTGGCTTGCTTTCTCACTTTCTCTCTCTCTCTCTCTCATTCTCTCTCTCACTCTGTCCCTCTCTGATCAAATTAAAATAAATAAAAGAATAAATAAAGTTAAATAAAATAATTCTTAAATAATAATAATGATAACAATAGATTTAAAGGGAAGAAAAGGCACACAACTCTTCTCATGCTAACTGGCCCTGAAATTAGCCAAATACCCCCAACAATCAATGGGGAGGCCAAGAAGAGAGGAGCCCAAGGTTGGAAAACAGCATACTCCATTTGACCATGTCTTTGACCATCTCTGAAAGGGCCACAGCTGGTCCCAGAAGGTGGATTACATTGCTAGATTCCCACATAGTTTATTCCAGTTCAAGTCCCAGACCAGGTGGCTTAAAACTCACACCAGGTGCATGTGCATGCATGCCCAAAATCCCGAGAGAAGATTGGAGAAGAGATTGTGGCATGGCCATTCCCCAGAGAGGTGATTTCTTGCTTTCTCTCTCTCTCTCTCCAGCAAGCACACACACCCTGTAGCATAAATCTCTCTCAAAAAACAAAGGGCCACAGCCTGTTCTGCTCTCCTCACCACTGAGATTTAGGAATTACTCTCTGATTCCTCTCGAGGGATGCAGTCCTTCTGGCTCAAGAGAAAAAGCATAACTTTGCTATGCATGTCTTCAGATTTTCAGAATCGGTGAGAGAAACACTCGCAGTTTCCCAGGAGAATCAAAAATATGAAAGTCACAGAAATGAAAAGGAATATTCAGAGTTCGTCAGAGACGGCAAGGTAGAGGGACAAAGGTCCGCTCTCTCTAACATGATTCAGCCCCATCCCTATCAAGGCACTCATCCATTTGTCTACACTGAAAAAATTACCAAAAGACACCATTATCTCCTGTAGACTGAGCAGGTGGTTTTGAAAACCAATGACAGACCTAGGTGCCAGACCAGTTCAGCACTAGGCGTCTCCCTCCTCATTCTGCCTACCACCACCCCAAGTCTACACTGCCTGACCCGGCTCAGCATCTGCGGCAGGGAGCTTGCCTGAAAGAAGCCCAGCTCTACCTATCCGGATGGAGAGTTCACTCCCAGGGAAGAGCAGCGTGGGACCCTCGGGGTCAGCCTTCTTCTTCATCAACGTCGGGTCCAAGTTCAGCGCCAGGGCCGTCTGGGGGTCTTCTGCTGCACCCTGGAATGAGAAGCAGGAGTGTTACCAGAGCACCTCCACTACGCGCACTTCCCAGACCCCTCCGGCTCACAGGGGCTGAGGCGCCTTGTCGGTCTCACCCAGAGCATCCGGGCTGAGCCAGTCCCATGGCTGACCTAGCTGCCAGGCCAAGCCAGGTCATTAGGAAGAGGACAAGTTTTGTGGATATAGGACTTCGGGGGTTACAAAAAAAGAAAATAAATAAATAAAACAGATCTGTGGAGTTGGTACTGATCCTAGAAATGGAGAAAATACATTCTGGAAAAGACGAGGCCCAAACACCAAAACCCCACAGCACACCTCATCACCACTGGGCAGAGCACAATGGGCTCGGTCCCTGATCTATCAGAAGAAACCCAAAGGGCAGGTCCACGTGGATGCAGCCTCAGTACAGAAGCCGGGACCAGCAAGATTAGGAATTCACCATCTTCATATTCCTCCTGAGATCCAAATAGGAGGAGATCCCAGGAAGGCACCCCCAGGAAGGAAACTCACAGAAAACACACATGCCACGCATATCTGCAGTTGAGTCCATATGGTCTTAAACCCGTCCTGTTTGTCTTAAAGAGTTATTCCGATGGTTTCTCATTAACCTGACCAAGGTGTGCACTTGATCCCTGTATGCAGTTAACGAATGTTTACCAAGCCCTGACTTTGTGAATACCTAAGTGAGCAAGGTAGCCCCAGCTCTGAGAGGCCTGTGCTCCACCAAGGAGCAAACGCCTGATTTCATGACTGAGCCTCCTGAACCCTAGCCCTGCTGACCACCAATAAATGCACAGGATCTCAACAGGAACCACACAGACGGGTGACTCAGCCAGCGACACGGGCACCTCCACTGTCATCCAAATACCTTAAAGCCAAGGACAGGAGGCTGACTTATACCTCCACGGGCACAGACAGCAGTTGGGAACCCTGGGTCTTGGCCTATTGAGGCTGCCATAACACATAGCATAAACTGGACAGTTTCTTTGTTTTTTTAAGAGAGAGTTTTGCTATAGGTTACATGCATTCACCAGAGAGACACAGAGACAGGAAGCAAGAAATCACCCCTTGGGGGGCTGGCTATGCCACAATCCCTTCTCCTCCATTCTCCTCTCGGGATTTGGGGCATGTTCACACATGTGCCTGGCCTGAGTTTTAAGCTGCTGGGCCCGAGACTCAAACTGCAGTCGATTATGTGGGAGTCTAAGGATGTAACCATTACACCATCTGCTGGTGCCTATACTGGATAGTTTCTAAACAACAGAAATGTATTTCAGCTCCGGAGACTGGGAAGTCCAAGACCAGGGCACCAACAGAGCTGGTATCCAGCAAGGGCCCATTCCTGGTTCACAGATGGTACCTTCCAGCCGTGCCCTCGTGGGGTGGGAGGGGCAAGGACTCTTCCCCAGGCATTAGCCCCACTCGTAAGGGCTCTGCACTTACACTTCGTCTTCCAAAGGCCCACCTCCTCCGAGACTAGCAACTCGGTTTGTGAATTTTGTGGGAACTCAGATCATAGCACCAGGCAAAAATAGTTCCAAACAAACAGAAGTTTCCCTGCGACACTCACATGGGCAAGGAGAGACTTGTCATCCAATTATGAAAATGTATTCACTTACAAGAAAATACAGTAACTGTTTTGTTGGGTAAATTTTTTTCATGAAGTAATTCCACGAAAAGTATGCCAGGCTGGGTCTTATACACACACAGACACACACACACACACCACACACACACACATACACACACACACACCGCACACACAGATACACACACACTGCACACACCACACACCACACACACACACCAGACACAGTATACATACACACCACACACACACCACACACCACACACACACACACACACACCTCCTTGACTCATTTTCTCATTGTCATGATTGTCAGGGGAAGAGAGAGAACCTAATGATTCAGCTATTCTATTTCATAACTTCTTTCCAACTAAATGTTAAAATGAACACATAAGCCCTTCACACTTGTTTAACATACCAAGATTGTGCTAGTCCTTTATTTTCACCGTCTTCCACAATACGTACTTTTTTAGTTTATTCATGTATTTCCACCATGACAGAAAGACAGGCACCCCCAACAGTGTCCCCACACTGCCATCCGCCCCAGCCTCAGCCAGCCAGGATCACAGGCAATGCTCCCAGCATACTCAGAGAGGTCCCAGGATGCGAACCCAGGACCTTTCCCACGTGAGTCCAGCTGCGTTACTGCTGCACCGCCACTTAGCCCTGTAATCCACTTTAATAAGGTGCCGACACCCAACTTAGCCTTACTGTAAAAGAAAATCAAGAAGCCCCCAGTCCCACTCAAGCCACATCTGCAGACTGCTGGGATCTTGCCTCCTGCCATACAGAGAAGCAGCGCAGTGCATGTCGTGGTCCTAGGTCCCGCCACAGATAGACAGACTCCTGGGAATGGAAGAGGCCGTAGAAGGCCAGCCTCCGCCTCTGCAGAAACCCCTCTAAGCGCACCGAGTGACAGCTGCTCTGTGCACGTGCCGGCGGCCACAGAGTGGCAGTCCTTTGTTTACGTGCTTAATTATCTCTAACTCTACCTCTCCCGCTGACATCGGAGGCGTCCGGACGGCAATGAAAGACACGCTCCACTATGAGCGTGTGTGTCAGCTGATTCTCCCTCTTTGTCGTCTTCCTTTTAGAAGGTGATTGATGCGCAATTGGGGGAAGGCGATGGGAAGAGAAGCACTTCATTACAGCAGAAATGCCGCAGCATTAATCGCCTCACCGCGGCAAGTGCTTAGTTGGAGCCCACTTAGTCGGTGCAGCTTGGAGAGACCCCGGGTTTACTGTAGGACAGTGCCTCTTAACCAGGTGACGTTGCCCCCAGGGAGACACTGGGCAATGGACATTCCTGGGTATCAAAACCAGGAGGGGGAGGAGCTAGCAGGAGGTTTAGTGGTTAAGGCACTGGACTCCCACATGACTGACTGTGGTTCAAGTCCCAGATCCACCAGCTTATGATATACTGAGCACGTGTGTGTACATGCCCCCAATCCCAGGAGAATGGAGAAGGGAATGTGACATGGCCACTCCGCCTGGGGGGTGACTTCTCACTTTTCCTCTCATTTTCTCTCTCTGTCTCTCTCCAGTGAGTGCAAGCAGCCTGTGGCAAAAAAAACTTAAAAAAAAACAACATCAAAAAACTGAGAGGGTGGTGCTGCTGGCATCTCTAGTGGGCAGAGACCAAGGAAGTTGCTAATCACCCAGCAAAGCGCAGGACAGCCCGCATGGCAGTATGTCACGGCTAAATGTCAGCAGGGCCAAGGCCAAGAGACCCAGCTTTAGACAGAGTTAGGACAATCAGGAACACTGCCCATGCTGAGAACTCGCAGGCCCTCTGCACTGTACCGAGAATCCTGCCCCGTTTCTAGGAAGGCCGCCTGCCTGCCTTCATGCATTTGTTAAATCTGATGATGCATCAGCTGTGTACCAGAGCTGTTCCAGCACTAAGGGTCCAAAAGGGCCAAGCACCCCATCCTCATGAATTTTGTGTTTTCCTTCAAGAGACAGGTGAGACTCGGCCTATCAACAGCAAACCAAAACACAGGAGTGCTAGGGGACTAGCAGTTGGCATCATGGCTATGTCACTGGACTCCCATGTAGTCGACCACAGTTCAAGTCCCAGACCCGGTAGCTTAAACTCACGCTGGGCGCATGAGCGTGTGTGCCCAAGATCCCAAGAGGAGAATGGAGGAGAAGGGACTGCAGCAAGAATGGAGGAGAAGGGATTGCGGTGTGGCCCCGCCCCCTGGGGGGGGATTTCTCACTCTCTGTCTCTCTCTGTTTTTCTGGTGAACGCATATACCCTATAGCAAAAACCTCTCCAAAAAAAGAAAAAAATAAATAAATAAGAGTGCCAGGTGGGCATAAGAAGAAAAACGAGGCCCTGTTCATGGTTTATGGCCACCCTAGTACAGGAGATGCAAGAACTGGCTCTGGCTTTGTCCGCACAATGTTCTCAGCGTCTTACACGTGCCAGCTCACTATTAAAGGGGGATGTATCTCTGAGGAGGAGGCATTTGAGCAAAATTCTAAAAATAAGGGAGGATCAAACATTGACCCACCCCATTCCCTCCATAACCTTTGATCATTTTGTCAAACTATATCCTGTTGGTGGCGTTACTTTCGTTCGATATTTTAGGAGGCAGGGAAAGGGGCTCTAAGCATATTGCCCCCTAACTTCACTTAGAACCTGTTTACAGCCTAGACAGAGGGCTGGCCCCATAGCACAGAAGTTAAGCCCTGTGCTGAGAAAGCCAGATTCCACAGTTGAATCCCAGCCCCAGCAGCTTGAGAAACATGCTGGGTGCATGTGCATGCCTGTTCAAATCCTGACGTGATGGGAAACGGAGGAGTGACCATGGTGTGACCACACCCCCTCGGGCCTTCTGTCTCTGTCTCTCACTCTGGCCAGGCCAGCTGTGCAGGATGGAATCTGCTCTGGAGAGATCAGGACAGATGCCGCAGCACTCCGTGTGTCTCTGATCCTGGGCACGGCCTCCCAGGGCTTCTTCAGACTGCCTCCTGGGACTACTGATATCCTCAGCCTCCACTCTAACTGCTGAGGGGCAAAATATGGAAGTACGTGTTGTGTAACTGCTAAGAATAGCCCCTGGGGACATGCCAACCCTGCCTGGGTGGCTTTATCATAATGTCTTGGTAATGGGAGAAGTCGGGCAGCACCTGCTGGGCCAGGGTGGCTCTCAGCCACCTGTCACCTGATGGAACCCCATCTGCTCACTGGGCATGTGGGCTGCAGGTGGAGGAGGCACTGACGTTCTTTATCTGGACGTCTTAAAGAAACAACCTCGGCCTGTGCACCACAGACCAAGATCTCAGGGAGAAATTCCTCCTCTACGTCCCCCTCTTCTTCACCTGATATTATTCCTTGTATTTCTGGGACTTTTATTTTTTTAAATCTCTGCAGTGCTCTCTTAATCACAATACCTCGCTC